AACATAAACCAAAGATCAATAAAGTGGTTATTCACCCAACACAATACTACTTAGCAATAAAAAATAATAAGTGTTGAATCTCAAAACAACTCTGTAGCATGAAAGAGTCCAATATTTGTTAAAGTATACACAAATTATAGTGTTTAGAACATTATGAAAATATGAACTAATCTTTTAAAGAAAGGAAAATGAATGACTGCATTTAGAGCAGGGGAAGGCAGAAAGAGAGATTATAAAAGGGCAGGAGGTAAATATAGGGTGTGGTAAAGTGGGTTTAGAGTTGTTGGTATGGAAATTAATACAATAGTTAGTAAATAATAATACAAGTACAATCTCTTCCCTGGCCATTGTACTTCAGTTGGTTGGACACCATCCCTTGCCCTAAAAGGTCACTGGTTCTGTTATGCCCAGATTTCAGGATCCCCAAGAAACCTCAGCAGGGAGCCAGCCGTGTCTGATGCTAAAGCATAAGAGTTTATTCAAGCCCAGGCTTGGATCCCCTACCCTACTTACTGATGCAGCAGCAAGTGGCAGAGAGGGCTAGCCCTGTGGGAAGAGGGGTTTTATAGGGGGTTGGAGTAAGGGGAGGAGAAAGGACTGTGGGCCTGCCGATTGGCCAGGCACAAGTCGGTGTCTTGTTACACAGGATATGGGTCATATCTATGGTGCACACTTCCCTTGATTGTCATTGGTTAGTTTAAAGAAGTCCTGGGTGTGGCTAGCAGAGGCTTGGGCTTCCGGGAAGAAGCCTTGCCAAGCACATGGCTGCCCAAAAATGGAGGATCCAGGGTAAGATGGAGGGCGTAGCCCTTATCCTGGGACAAGATGGAGGGCGTAGTCCTCGTCCTTTCATTCCCCCCTTTGTCTTGGAACTTCTGGCTCAATCATGAGACGGGCTGCATTTCTATTCCACTGTTGCTAGAGGCCCATACTGAGTACATAGAACTATCAATTGAACTATCCCTATATGCTTAACAAATGGTCCAGTGGAAGGGAAAGAAACCATTTTAGCTTTAACAACTTCTATTGAAATAGGATTTTTCTTCTTAAAATTCCTCCATGGCTATCAAAAAAAACAAAAACAAATTAAGATTAATTTATCTACCGTATTCAATTTGGCCTGATGTTTGCATAAACACAACAAGAATGGTAACCAGCCACCTTTTCTGGAATCTCATGGTTGAATCTTAATGTGCCTCGTAGGGCCAGGAAGCCAAGCCATCCAGCTGCCATCAGGCCCGCCTGCAGTATCTGCTGAGTTAGGTGAATCCCTCACCTGTAGCAGCTCCACCTGAGCCCACGCTCTAGGCTTTAAGGCCCATCTCAGTAGCCCTCCTACTCATTGTGGCCCAGAGTGAGTGGGCCACTGTTGCTCACAGCCTTGACACCTGAGAGGAATCTGAGCTCCTCAACCACATGAATTCTGAAACAGCCCAGTCTCAAGCCCTGGCTAGAAGGTGCAGAGACCTCAAGGGGAATGTCAAGACCCAGATCTACACCAGGCCCCTTAGGTTTTAGTCTCAGGGAGCACAGATGTCATCACCCTGGGTGGGTTCACCACCCTCCACACTGACAATGGGGGCACCTCCCACACTGTTCCCTGGGTCATTGCATGGTTAACCCTCATGAGGACCCTGGCTGCATGTCACCATGGGGTCCCTTAGCTGTGATGGTGGTCACATGTGTGTGAACTGACTGGGAGAATAAAACATGTATATAGATTGATTTGAGAGAGACATAGGGAGAGATAGAAGCATTAATTTGTTGTTCCTGTAACTTCCTACAGTGGATTATGTTGGGCCTGCCAGGGTCATACATTTTCTTGCATGTGCCCTGACTGGAGGTGGAACCTGCAGTCTTGGCATTATTGAGATTATGCTCTGACCCACTGAGCTATCTGCGCACATCCTGACATATCGGGCGTTTTACGTTAAGTAACCCACTAATGTACCTACGGATAAATAGACACAAGAACAACTATCATGGTTGATGATGGAAGGCTAGAATAGGATTCATGGGGTTTCATAAGTGTTTTCCTCTATGGACAGATTTCAAATAAGCTATCTCAAAGGCAGATTGGGTACTTGCATCAGTTATATTATTTTCCAAGAAAGAAGCACTGAGGAGGGCAGGAGGAACTTGGTTTCAGGAATGCAGGCATGAATGGAAACATCAAAAGGGCATGCTTAAAAAGTGTACATGTTAGCCCTCCCTGGTTTGGCTCAGTGGATAGAGTGTTGTCCATTCAACTGAAGGGTTGGAGGTTGACTCCGGTCAAGTGTATGTACCTCCATTACAGAGTTCATCACAGGCACCAGTTAGGATGTGTACAGGAGGCAACCAGGTGATGTGTCAACCTGAATGGTTTAAACCTCTGTCTCATAGACAGTAAATCCAGGCTCAGAGACTGAATGTAGATTACCTGATGATAGAGTAAATAAAAGGCAGGACTAGAAGTCAAAACCATGTGTCTACAACGGAGGTCTGGCCTCTAATGTTAGGCTGAGATTAACACCTAGGTCTCCTAGAGAGTAGAGTTGCTACTTCATAACCATTAGGATTGGCTAGATGTTACACCTATAAAGTTTTAGTGGCTTTGCATATAGAAGTTATCTTTCTTGTTCATACCACATGTCCATTCTGGTTCTCCTGGGACCGGAATAAAGGAGGAGCCACCATGTAGGTACCTGTTGACATTATCAGAGATGGACAGAGAGGGTGGCCAGTCTCAGTGTTTCCAGTTTTCTGTTAGTGGTGATAGGCTTCACTCCCACCACATTTCTTAGGTCAAAGCACATCACAGCGCTGCAGCCAACCTCAGGGAGTCGCAGCAGAACCTGGTATACTTGATGAGCCTCATTAAGGCGACCATATGGTGCCAACCTCTTTTGGGGTGTGCAAGGGCAAAGGAGAGGAGTGGGGATTGGTAGTCAGTCAGGATTTTGTCCCCAAGCTGCCCAAAACCATCACTTTCAAGATTCAGAGTGAACATCCAAAAAAGGAGTTTGGTAAGATGTCATGGGCAACAACTCAACACCAATTCTGAGTGTGACTTTGATAACATCCCTGGCTTCCTGGATTCCCCTACTTTGGTCAAGTTCAAGACCCACATGTTAAGAGTGTTTACTGGGAAGAGTATAGGACTGAAAGCATCCCAGCATCCCTGTTCTTTTCAACTAATATCAGTCAGTACCTGCTTCCAAGTCTCCTTTCTTTTGCATGGCCCTGGTGAGAGCTCCCAGTGAGGATGGTGAAAAATGCTGACGTTGACATCAATGGTGATCCTGTACTTTCCATTTGTTCTGTGTATGAACCTGTGCTAAAGGGTCCCTGGATAGTTCTCCACACTGGTCCTAATTCTCCCTCTTGGGCCCAGTGTTGGGTGGGCCATGCACACCCAGTAGATGACCAGAGCCAAGAATCCCAAGAGTGATGCTCCATGAAGCCCCAGGCACCTTCCTCTATTATTTGTCAGCCTAGCTTTGATATGGCAAGGGACACCCCTCTCCTGGGATGCCCAGTTCCTCATTATCAGTGGGGACTGAGGAGCCTAGAAATCTTCCCCCTCAGTTTTCCCCCACATGAACTCATCCTCATATTCCTTTCCAAGAATCCTGGATCCTCCAACTCCTTCACAGAGACCAGTGTCCATCACAAACGTTACCAATCCACACTCTATATCTCCTGTCTGTCATCAGAGTCTTCCTCAATTCCCGACCTTCCCACAGTCTGGAATTCTCTGAACTGACCCTATGCTTAATCCATCCTTGAGACCTGAGATAGGACCTCCAGAAGGACACCAGACGCCTGGAAGGGAAGAAGGCGCTCACCTGGGGGTGGGGAACAGGAACATATTGATGTAGAGGAGGGTGCCTCTACAATGCCTCTCCAGAGATTGCCTATGCACTTGCCCATTGTGGGGGTGCACAGACTCAGAGAGAAACATACAGATAACCCAAGCACAGAAACAAACAGCTGGTGCCGAACACTTCCAGCCTCTGCTAGGCGCTCAGGTGCTGGGCTTATGTCCAGGTTCACATAGACCCACACTGTAGAAATGGGCAATACCCTGAGGAACACACACACACACATACAAACAATGGACACTACCCCATACGCAAATTGGAACCACAAAGTTATTTCAACTTTATTTCATTGCCTTGGTTAGTGGTATAAAATAAGCCATTATTGGACAGAGTGATTTTTCTGACATTATTACAGTATATGCTTTCCAAAGAACGGAAAAATTGGGAGACCACACCATATCTGTTCATCTTGCCATGATGATAGATCACAACTTTTGTATCAAATCATCCAGAGAGTGAAATTTAAAAACATAAAATAAAGAAAGCAATGAAAGAATAAACATCTTTACTAAAGATCATAAACCAGAACAGAGGACAGTAAGCAATTTGCAGGCCGGTGAATTAGAAAGTAAAAAAATTCATAAAAACAAAAGGTGAGACCCACAATATCCCTGAAAATGGTAACACTCCTTAGCTTAGGATGAGTGCTCTGTAGAAACCCTAGGTCAGAACCATTCCCTAGTCAGAGAGAAAGGAATGAAGATCCTGTCAAGAACTTGAAGTAATCACAATTTTCTCAAGCACAAGTAAGAACACAGAATACATTTCCCCTGAGCACACCGGGTTTGTGACTGATGCACGCTCTTCAGGTGAGCCAGGTGGTAGAGATGAAATCTCTTCGGCCACAAATGCTCACTGTGACATCAATTGGGTAGTAGGTCTGGGCATGTTAGCAAGTACAAATGCAAATCCTTCAATACTCACTTGTACCTGAAACTTATGAAGAATATATCAGAGTACATGTTCCATTAAAAAGGGTTTAAATTCAGAAAAACAGGTCCCAAAGAGTCGCCTTCAGTGCACTTATACTAAGTGAGAAAAGTAAAACATTTGCTGCACATTGAACACTTCTCTCCAGTGTGAGCTCTCGGGTGTCTAATAATGCTAGATTTGTGACTAAAAGATTTCCCACATTCAGTACACTCCTATGGCTTCTCTCCAGTGTTAACCATGAGGTGTGCAGTGAGGTGAGATATTAGACAAATGGAAACCCCACATTCTTTACATTTAAAGGGCTTTTCTCCAGTGTGAACTCTCTGGTGTTCTTTGAGTAGACTTATCATTGAAGGACTTCCCACAATCACAGCACTCATACGGCTTGTTGCCACTGTGAACTCTCAGGTGTCTAAAAAGGTGTGATTTTAGGCTAACAGCCTTTCCACATTCAGTAGTCATATGGCTTTTCTCAAGTGTGAACTCTCTGGTGTCGTTTGAGGTTATACTTATTACTGCAGGATATTCCACAATGACAGCACTCATATTGCTTGCCGCCGCTGTGAACTGTCAGGTGCTTAGTAAGGCCGGATTTTTGGCCAAAAGACTTACCACATTCAGTACACATATATGGCTTCTCTCCAGTATGAACTCTCTGGTGTAGTCTGAGATAAGACTTATCACTGAAGGATTTTCTGCAATCACAGCACTCATATGGCTTATCGCCACTGTGAACTCTCAGGTGCTTAGTAAGGCTGGATTTTTGCCTAAAAGACTTCTCACATACAGTACACTCATATGGCTTATCTTCGGTATGAACTCTCTGGTGTTGTTTGAGGTAAGACTTATCACTGAAGGATTTTCCGCAATCAAAGCACTCATATTGCTTGTTGCCACTGTGAACTCTCAGGTGCTTAGCAAGGCTGGATTTTTGGCTAAAAGACTTCCCACAGTCAGTACACTCATATGGCTTCTCTCCAGTGTGAACTCGGAAGTGTATAGTGAGTTTAGACCTTTGACGAAAGGACATCCCACATTCTCTACACTCATATGGCTTCTCTCCAGTGTGAACCATGAGGTGTGCAGTGAGGTGAGATATTAGACGAAAGGACTTCCCACATTCTTTACACTTACAGGGCTTTTCTCCAGTGTGAACTGTCTGGTGTTTTTTGAGGGTAGAGTTATATTTGAAGGACTTCCCACAATCACAGCACTCATACGGCTTGTTGCCACTGTGAACTCTCAGGTGTCTAATAAGGTAAGATTTTAGGCTAAAAGCCTTCCCACATTCTCTACACTTATAGGGCTTTTCTCCAGTGTGAACTCCCTGGTGTCGTTTCAGGTTATACTTATTACTGTTGGATTTTCCACAATGACAGCACTCATATCGCTTGCTACCACTGTGAACTGTCAGGTGCTTAGGAAGGCTGGATTTTTGGCTAAAAGACTTCCCACATTCAGTACTCTCATATGGCTTCTCTCCAGTGTGAACTCGGAGGTGTACAGTGAGCTTAGACCTATCACGAAAGGACATCCCACATTCTCTACAATCATATGGCTTCTCTTCAGTGTGAACTCTGAAGTGTTGACTGAGGTGAGCCCTTTGACAAAAGGAGTTCCCACATTTTCTACACTCATACAGCTTTTCTTTAGTGTGAACTCTCTTATGTCGAATTAGGTTCAAGATTCGTCTAAAAACATTCCTACATTTGTGACACTCATAAATCAGTTCTCCAGAACAGTCACCGTGACATTGAACAACTTTCAGGTTGTGGCTGGCAGCATCTCTACATTCATCCCAATGGTGATGACTTTTTCCATCAAGAAATTTCTGTGAAATCTCACTGCCACAGGGTAACTCCTCAGTGTTGAGAGTGGCCTGGTGCTTGGGAAGCTCTGAGTTGTATTGCAAGACTTCCCCAACCTCCCTGCTGGCTGAAGGCACCGAATATAAGTAGAAGTTGGACCTGCTCACAAAGGAAGCCCTGTCCATAGCTTCTTTCCAGGGCTCGTCTCCACATTCATTCCTCTGTTGATCGTGAGAGTTTGCACTGAAACAGAAGTCTTCAACACATGTGTCACTGTAGAATGCTTTCTGCTTAAAGTATGCTGCATGTGAACCAGTCTGGTGCAAAATAACTTTTAACAGAGAGAAACACTGCTTACACAGAGGGATCTTCTGGGTGCTTGGAGCTGTCTTAGAAGCCCTGACCTGCGACTCTCCTTGTATAGATACAGAACAGGCCTCATCACCATCGATTTTATGCCGACAACCTGAAAAGTGAGAAAGGGTAAGGAAATGAATGCTGAATGTGGTGACAGGGGAAAGTCCCAGTTACACATCACACGTTGGTTCCATGCAATTGTCAGAAAATAATATACGTGCAGGAAGGATTAATAAGGGGCTCTTATCACTTTCTGGGCTAATAAAGATTACAAAACAGGGAGGCCTCACCAGAAATATGACACAAAAATGGAAAGCACCACATGGATTTGAATATGGATTTCCAGCTAATACTTCAACTTAAAGAATTCAGCATGGCTTGTCTGCTGGGGACGGGGACGAGCTGTGCAAGAGATTGGTTAGGTCTTACTCCAAGTAAAATTCAATAAAGGAGTAGCTGGTTTCGAGGACTAATTAGCACGTATGTGCACCTCATAACACATGTGCAAGTCAATGCTGCAGAATACTACAGAGGCACACGTGTAGAGAAACAGGTAACAAAGAGGTGAGCAGTCAACACTGGTCCAGAGCAACACAGCTTGCTATAGTATTCAGGGAAGAGAATATAACAAACAATTGATTGAAGTTCTCATAAGAACAGCCTCTGTTTCATGTAAGTAAAGACCATAACATGTAACAGGTCGCCACAAAGAACCTTCACCTAGAGAAAGATGGCAGAAGCTGAAGCCATGCATATGGAAACTGTCAGCCTCCCATGAAGAGAGAGTGCAAGCTGGGACCCATGAAGCTCACTGCAAGACTCCTGACTTTCTGTTTCCTGTACATTTTGTGGTAACAGGAGTTAGAGGGATGTTCATGGAGTCCTCTGCTCAGGACTCACCATCCAGCTCATTCATGTCAGTCACAGCACATTTCACAAGACAGTGGGGAAAATTACCAGAGGCCATGTTCTCGCTGTGGGAGAGAGAAAGCTACCCCTGAGGAATAAAGGCAGACAGGTCATCACCTCAGGACACTGGGAGAACATCAGATCTTACCTACAGATGACACAAGTGAAAATATTTCAGGCATCACATCGCAGTACAGAATTCTCTGAGCCTCATCAAGGAGCACCCATTCCTCCTGAGAGAATACAATGGCCACGTCCTCAAAGTTCATAACCTGTCATAATGGAGACAGTACATCACATGATCAGCTTCACTCCTAAGATTCTAAGTCTGTCATACTCCCCACCCTCCACACCCATCTGCTCTGTCCACTCCAGAGAAAATACCAGGCCTTCATCCCATGAAAGCCACTGTTTTCTTATATTTATACTGACATTTTGTCTTCCTACTCTAATAAAGGCATTTGAGCAGATAAGACTCCTGAGCTCTGGACCTCCCCTGTATGCCACACTGACTTTTATCAACAGAGTGGTTGTTAAAACCATAGGTGAAAGAGAGATGCTGGCCATAAAGATATTGTGAGTGATTTGATACTGGTCTTGTCAGTCAATACCCTCAGATTGTTTCTCAAAGATGCCAAATACATGGCATCACACTGGACCCTATTGACCCCAATTGCAAGGTGCCACGGCCATAGCTTTGCACTACTGTAGCACAGAGTTCTTTGAACAATAGTTCTCTCACACAGCTTCACTCCCAGAAGGACAACTTCAAAGGTAATGCAAATTTGCTGTGGTGAGGACAAATTGTTTCCTAATCACCTTTTTTCCCCAAAATTACAGTTCACCATGTCCATAATCTCTTACCTATTACTCTTCTCCCCTGCCCATGCCAGTGGACATTTTGAAGCCTGGGTAACACTGATGTATGCTATGTCACTCCTATTATCCAGGGTGTCATCCCTAACAACAAAAGGCAGGTGGTTAGGTAAATGGCACCTAAGCTCTGTACCTTGAATATAGCGCCCAAACACCCCTCCTTACAGTCAATTACCCTAAAATTCACCTTACTGGATCATCCAGACACCACCAGAAATGGGCTTTCCGGTCATTCAGTCTTATGTCAATATCAGGGTGCTGTGGCCATCAATTCGCATTCCCTCTTCAAGTGCAAATCACTCTTTACCACACCTCTCTCACACTTGTACTCCCTTACCCCCAGCCCCCATAGTCCTCTCCTTAATGTCTTATTACTTATCAAGTGTTGACCAGAGAATGCTTGCTAACATCTCTCACTTAACCACGATCTCTCCTTACACTCGACAGGACAACTTCTGTCCCTATGCTGTGTTGTGACCCACAAATACTGGCCACAGCAGGAAAGCCAGTCATCGGGCTCACACTGTCCCTTCTGAGCTACTACTACCATTACCAACCTGACCATGATTCCCTGTATGAAAGTGATCTACAGTCCTGGCTGATGTGTCTCAATGGGTTGAGTATAGACCTGGGCTGTGGGCTGGATCCAAAATAGGGGTTATGCAGGTGGAAACTGCTCATTGTTTCTTGCTCATCACTGTTTCTCTGTCTCTCTCCATCTCCCTTCCTTTCTATATCTAAAATCAATATATATATATATACACTGGGTGGCCAGATTATTATGATCACCTGACATTTGTAGGCAAATTAGCTATAATTTAGCCCTGAAGTTGCTAGATGGCCAGACCATTATAAATAGGGAAGCAGTTTGTTTGCCATGACAGTAGAAGTGATTTTTTTCTAAAGATATGTGTAAATAACGAGATTTAACAGCCTTTGAACGTGGGATGATTGTTGGCACTTGGAGCCATGGAGCGAGTATCAGCAAAACAGCTGAATTAGTTAAATGTTCCAGAGCAGTTGTTGATAAAGTGTTTAAAGACTGGACTGTCAGCCGAAAATCTGGGTCTCAACATGCGAATTGTGGCCGTCAGCGAATAGTCAATGTTAGGCCAAAACTGGTACAACACAACAAAAGAGCAACAATGGATTAAATTTATGCAGATCTTACTCAGGGATCCTCTCAAATGATCTCTAAACGCACAATAATAATCTGGCCACTGTGTGTGTGTGTGTGTGTGTGTATATATATATATATTTATAACATACCTGCATGTTCCTAAATCAGCTCACTCTTCACTCCAAGCCTCTGCACATTCTGGAACCTATGCCCTGGCAGTCCTCCCACTCATTGCACTGGTTGCTAAAAACAAGGTCCATGTCATGAAGCCCTAGTCCTGTCCTTAGGATTCTGGACTTAGTATCTTTTCAAACTCCCCAGGTCCAAGGGCTACAAGAGTGGCTGACAGTCCCAGGACACCACTATCTCAGAGGCCACAAGTTTGTCAGGCCCTGAAATAAGTTCCACAAACCTTGTACACCTAATCGATTCTGCATTTGCAGGAATTTGTGGAAAGGAAATGGTCTGTTGAGAGCCTGGCAAACACCGCCAGGATCTAGGGGTTAAGGCTGCTCTGTACCCTTGCCCAGCCCATAGGTCAGGTGACCTTCAGATGCCTGTATTATCTCAGGGCTCAGTGCTTAGTGCTCACTCTTGCCTGTTACCTTATCTTTTACAGGACTTCTCCTTCCTGTCCACAACTGGTGTCCTCTGTCTTCTAGTCTATTCTTCCTCTGAGCAATGATAGTTAAAGTTAGAACCCTAATTCAGAAAATGGTTTTTTCACAACCATCTAGTGTTAAGTCTGATCAAATAATTGAATAGATACCTCCTTCCCTGGGAACTTACCTTTAAGCCATTTCACAATGGACATTCTACTGGCTTGGACCACATTCCACTTGCTAAGACTGTTATCTCTCCCCTCCAGCATTTCCCAGAATGCAGACCTAAACAGAGAATTCTCTGACCAGAAATAGCCCACCTTAGAGTCCTTTAAAAATCTGACTCCCTTGCCCTGACCGGTTTGGCTCAGTGAATAGAGTGTAGGCCTGTGGACTGAAGGGTCCCAGGTTCGATTCCGGTCAAGGGCATGTACCTTGGTTGTGGGCACATCTCTAGTAGGAGGTGTGCAGGAGGCAGCTGAATTGATGTTTCTCTCTCATCGGTGTTTCTAACTCTCTATCCCTCTCCATTCCTCTCTGTAAAAAATCAATAAAATGTATTTTTAAAAAATATGTGACTCCCCGTCTTTGGGCACTGGTGCCATTTTGGGGCTCAGCCCATCTGATATCCTGATGACCTAATAAATTCATAATTCTTTACCCTTTCTGGCCTTGTGCGATCCTCCTTTTGTGACCCTAACATTTGATAGCAAAACATGGGAGGGTTCTATGGGGATGGGGAACCATCGCTCTGCTTTGGTCACCCAAAGTTTGCTACTCAGAGAGCAGTAGTCAGTGGCAGCTCAACCTGGGCTTACCTCCAAATTCTACTGGGGAAACTCAATTACAGGCCTCAACTAGACCTCCCTCCTTTATCAACCATCCTGAGCCAGCCAATGACTATGCCAGATCAGGAACCTCTCCTTCTCCATTGCTGACCCTCCATCCCACACCAGCCAATCTTCTCTAGGTCAGTTACTATCCACAAATTCACTCGTCTAGAGTCTTCTGCCCACTCTCTCAAACTGACTTCTCGAAAGTCTCTCATCGTAAAAGTCCTAGCGCTAGACCAGAAGGAAGACTCCTTAGTGATTTGGCTTTGGGTCTTTCTGGAGTGGGGGCGCCAAGTTCAGAAGGTCATCTCCCATTTCCCATGGTGATTTGTTTAGCTGCAGGGATGCCTGCTCTGGTCACCTCTGGGTTTCTGGTCTGTCACTCACCCTTCCTCTCTCATGGGCCATGCCACACTCCTTCTGCACACTCACGGGGGAGATCATGCCTAACCACCTCATTTTTTTTTTTTTTTTTTGTAACACTGTTTGGCCACAATATAAACTAGATCAGTGATGGTGAACCTATGACAGCCCTGTCAGAGGTGACACACGAACTCATTTTTTTGGTTGATTTTTCTTTATTAAATGGCATTTAAATATATAAAATAAATATCAAAAATATAAGTCTTTTTGTTTTACTATGGTTGCAAATATCAAAAAATTTCTATATGTGACACAGCAACAGAGTTAAGTTGGGGTTTTTCAAAACGCTGACACGCCGAGCTCAAAAGGTTTGCCATCACTGAACTAGACGATAAGACCCAATGGCCTCCCACTCTCACCACTCCTGTTCAATATAGTCCTGGAAGTATTAGCCATTGCAATTAGACAAGAAGAAGAAATAAAAGGCATCCAAATTGGAAAAGAGGAAGTAAAACTGTCCTTATTTGCAGACGACATGATATTATACATACAAAACCCTAGAGACTCCATCAAAAAACTACTAGACTTAATACATGAATTTGGAAATGTAGCAGGATACAAAATTAACCCCAAGAAATCTGAGGCATTTCTATACCCCAATAGTGAACTTGCAGAAAGAGAGATTATAAAAACAATCCCATTTACCATCGCACCAAAAAAATTAAGATACCTAGGAATAAACTTAACTAAAGAGGTAAAAGACCTCTACTCAGAAAACTACAGGACGTTGAAAAAAGAGATAGAGGAAGACATAAAGACCCAATGGCCTAAAAATGGCACTTTTAATTTTAACACATTGCAAAATTTAGATAATTTCTGTCATGGCAATGGAAAATGGTCAGAGATTCCCTAAGTCCAGGCCTTTTTCACTCTTCAGTCTCAATCCTTTCTCAGTTCTGCTCTATTCATTAGACCAGGGGTCCTCAAACTTTTTAAACAGGGGGGCCAGTTCACTGTGCCTCAGACCATTGGAGGGCAGGACTATAGTTTTCAAAAAAAAACCTATGAACAAATTCCTATGCACACTGCACATATCTTATTTTGAAGTAAAAAAAACAAAGCGGGCCGAAACCGGTTTGGCTCAGTGGATAGAGCGTCGGCCTGCGGACTGAAGGGTCCCGGGTTCGATTCCGGTCAAGGGCATGTACCTGGGTTGCGGGCACATCCCCGTAGGAGATGTGCAGGAGGCAGCTGATCGATGTCTTCTCTCTCATCAATGTTTCTAACTCTCTATCTCTTTCCCTTCCTCTCTGTAAAAAATCCATAAAATATATTAAAAAAAACAAAAAAAAAAGGGAACAAATACAGTATTTGTATTTGCATGTGGCCCGCGGGCCGTAGTTTGAGGACCCTTGCATTAGACCTTTCTCCTTCACACAAAACATCATACCCCTAACATTTCTGATGCTGAATGTACTTTTGACCCAGCAGACCACAAACCTCCATCTTCTTACACAACCCTTCCCTCACTTGCAGTATATTCCCAAATCCAGACCCTCCTAACCAGCAACCACCTTCTCCCCGGCCCATGAGAGCCAAAATCCCAAGAACGTGAGCTCCAATACTGCCTTTTCCCACCTAACACTTGATCTCGGGCCACCCTAAGACTGCTTTCCTCAACAGCTGCTTCTATCCCTACGCCCATTCTACCCCTGAGGGTGGGAGCAGGAACTGAGGGTATTGGCTGGGTATACATTCTATTATCCATGTCTGACCTCACACAGATTGAGAGGCATCTCAGGTATTTTTTCACCAACCCAACCACCTTTACTAAGGAAGTTAAGTACTGGGCCCAGTCCTATGGCATGACATCTGAGTCATTCTGTCCTCCTCTCTCACTCCAGAGGAGAAGGAGCACATCTGAATAGCAGCTCAGGACCATGCTGTGCCCTCCATAAACAGGGACTCGGTGGCCACCCCAGAGGGGCGCTATCAGGTCAGTTCTCCAAGGGCACTGGCTCTGGTAGCCTGTCTCATTGTCAACTCAAAAGGCTGCCCATAGTGAAGCAATTATGACAAACTTAAGGAAAATCGCTCAGGACCTTGACCCAAAACCAAATTCTCCTCCCTCTCTGG